GCGAAGTAGAATAAAAAAAGATAATAACAAGATAACGTTAGAGGCTTCGTTTTCGAGAAAAATGAATTCGTAAATCAATCGAGTACACGTGCATGTGATTGATAAGCGGTACTACGAATTTTATTAATTATACCATTATTGTGACTTTTTGTATAGGATACAAGAGACTTGTCAGAGATGATTGCTATCAATACTTACTTACTTTTTTTTTTACTCACAACTTTACTTACTTAGTCGTACTTACGTTAAAACCATGTCAATAGAAGAACGATATTTCAACTACAATAATAAACTGATCTTAGTCGATACATCGATAATTTATTACATTGATTGTATTGATCCTGAACCTTTAAGGACGAATTAATATAAATATCAATAACTCTGACATTGAAGTATGTATAGACCAGTTATGTACTACTAGCAGTCTGTAGTGAAATTCATAACAGCGCTTATCTATAAGTCAAGTGCACGTGTACTGGATTGATCTTTAAATTCATTTTTCTCTAGGGAGAAGCCTGTGATGCAATTTTGTTATTCCTGATTTCCACTTTATTTCCAGCCTTACTAGCCATGCTTCTATTACAAATCACGATCTGATTTTACCTCCACTTGCTTTAATACAGCGACCCCATTATTACTTTAATAACGCTACTCGAGGAAATCACGCATCTCTGCAATACCTTACATGAAGTATAAAAATAATAATCATAATCGTTTTCGACAAATACACATTTAATATTAATATAGTCCGTTCGATTCAGATAAACGAGAAGGAAACAGGGGAACGCTGCCTTTCATGTGAACAATTACAAATATACATACATATCGCGCATAAGATCTACATACACGGTGATTTTAAAAAACTAGGTTCTTATAAGTAGTGATTGTAGATCTCAAGACAGTGGAAAAATTTTATATACAAAAATATCCTTTGGGACTTACTTTTCAATGTTATAACATAATTTTACATTAGAAATACACTTGGTAACTGCGTAGAGTTACGGATCTCTCCTTCTATTAATATCCTATATACATAATACATACATATAATAAGATGAATCACAGCATTACGCTTTGACTCGCATAAATCAAACAGTATTTACTAGAATGTTATCCTGCTTACCCTGAATATTTAATATTTATTTATACTATTTGCTATGAATATTTGATATTTATTTATACTATTTGCTATGAATATTTGATATTTATTTATAGTGTTTAATACGAATATTTATCTATTTTCAAGTTACACCGCCTTGTTATCTACAATAAAAAATATAACGAATAGTTGAATTAAGAGAGATGTCAATATACATAAGGCTTTTTATAATTCGATAAAACTTAGTGGTAGAAGTAAGACATGCGCGTCATCTGCTTCAGAAAACGGTGTGGTTGTTGGTTGGAACAGTTCGTTGGTGGCGATAAGTTCCAGCTGGATTAAATTAGAGAGAAACCTACCCCGTTGTCTTTTGTAAGACACGTCGCTATTATGTAAGCGGCATAGCTTATATTCGAAGAGAATATAGAAAATGTATCGCGAAGAATATCGCGTGCTTAATAAAGAAAGACACGCGATTCCCCGTTGAATTGACAAGTAAACTCAATTGATCTTCTAACTCTGGGACTTGCTGAATTGACCATGATATTAGAAGTAACATAACTATGACATAATTTTTAACGCTAAAATTAATCGAATGATTATACTGACAATGGTTAAAGTTCATAGTAGATATAAATTAAATATTAGGTTGTCCGAAAAGTGTCTTTCTTTTACAGACATGTCTTTTACAACGATGTATCTTTATACAAACATGAAACCTAATTTGTCGAACGTTGTGATCTTTATTTTGATAGAACAAAATAGATCATACGTAATTCGATAAAATAATATAAAACGGAAAATGTGCATCCATTATTTCCTTATAAAACGAAAGAAACTTTTCGGATGACCTAATACAAGGAGGAAAAATAAATCCTTATATCAAAATTTATTCGATTCATTTATCGTCCAACCTAGAAACACACTTCTTAACACGATATATGTGCAATGTATGTGCAATGTGCATCTATCGAAATGGGACAAACTATGGAAATTAACTGAAAGCATAAAAATAACTAAGTACCTTCTTCAAAGTAGTGCACACGTTATGTGAATGGAAACTGCAATGATAATTCAAGTCCTAAAGTAGATCTGTGTTACGTACCTATTGCAAAGCTAAAACTTCCAACCGACAAACATAATCGCAGTGTAACTAATTCGAGTTTTAAAAGTTTCAGAAATATCACATATTGAAGAAGACTGCTAACCAGAGAGATCACTTTGCTATGATCATTTTTCTTTTCAAATAAAAATTAATAATTTCTATTTCATATATAATATATAAATTTACTAAACAAGATTAATGATAAGAAAAATTTAGTTCCCATAATAAATTTTTAGCCAATTGAAATATGATTTAATGTTATTAATATTAATTTTTAAATTAATAGAATTTAATTTTGTTTATTATCGATGTATGCTGGAAGTTAATAAAATAGGTGATGGAATCGATTATTAGAACGCGAATTATTTAGAAACCAATTATATATTGGAATTCCTAATTACGAAGATATTCAGAGACGTACGGATTAATCAGAAAAATACACTATTTTAAATTGGAAATTTAAGAATATATAAATCATAGATTCTTGTTATACACCCTAACAATGTTTTAATTCAAATTGAATCGAATTTTCACACCTCGTTCTTTTTTACAATGGATTAATTTTCGTTTTCAGCTTGTTATCCCGTAAAGCTATAATTAACACAACCAGTAATTATAAATAACTATTCTACGAAGCATTTGTTCAATGTTCCAATACTTTTACCCATAAACTTGTTATCTTCCCAATTAAAGAAGTTTCTCAAATTTACTTTTTATGTTTACGTACCAAAGAACCCCCACAAATACAAAATTATAAAAATAAAAAGGATTAATATATAATAGCATATCATCCAAACTAAAATGTTTAAAAATTTACGATAACGAAATTATTATGATACAAAAATTACTAAAAAAAATATTCGACAAGTTTAAAACAAATATAAGTTGATCAAAGTTATTGTTAATGAAACACCTATCTAGCATATCCATCGACGCATACTACATTAAAATTTTGATTTTCTCTTTATAATGTCGATTGCAAATTAGTATTTTTTCGCTTGGAATCAAGACAAATAAAACAAAGATGATAGAATCGTGAAGCTTCGAAAAAAGCTGGAAACACGCCCCACAGGATAAAGCACGCACTGCGTAGAAACTACCCCTCTACTTCAGTCAACGACGTGCTGGTTCCACGAACGAAAACTGGGTCACCAGCTACGATACTCGAGCTAACTCGTGCCGTGAACTCACTTTCTGTACATGGCGTTATATGTACATGTATACCCATCTATCTACATAACATGATATAGCTGCGCGTAGAGGTTATAATAATTTTTCCTCTTTCTATAGACAGTTTCTAGGCAAACACATGGTATATACTCAGCGATAGAATCATCGATACAATCTTCCTACGATCGATCATTAATGAGATAAGCAGCAAACGGAAACAAGGCGAAAGCATAGGAAATTGTGATCGAACAACATCTATCTAATGGTAAAATATTTTAGATTAATTGTGTACTGTAATATTTGAACGATATCAAAACGTTGTATTTTATTGTAATTTACTTGAATTATTATTCAACTCTTTCTTGTACTTTAAAAAAATATATTATTCAATTGTAGTAGACAATTTTTAAATCACGCATTAAATTAGAATTATTTTATAATCGATATTTACGTTAGTCTACCATGTACGTAGTCTGTTTCAATGATATAATAGAAGAAAATATATTTACCTAGTAAAAGATGATTCATAACGTGAAACATTCACAATGACGAATAAAAATTAGCTCTAGCCATCGATCGTTTTTCGACAGACACTTATACATGGATACCATGAAATATAAATTGAAGAGTGATATTATATCGAATTTAGTTTGCAATTGATAAATCGATCTTGATCTAAAATACGTAAATTTTCAACAAATTCCAAAGCTATGATATTCTTTTTCTTCCTACAAAGAATTCCAATACTTGTAATATGTAATGACCGTAAACATAGTCTTTCGAAACTAGAAGAGGAGCTAGAGTTTGGCCCACTAACACGTTTGCGTTTGTGATCGATCGCTTTTCACTTTCTTCTTAAAAGCACAGTTATGGCAAAATCAGAACCTTTATCAGATAAAAGCAACCTTATAAAGTATGCCTAATTCGTACTTTAACCCTCCGTGTCATAGATTATATCTCACACAGACGATCGAAACATCGTGTCACGTCTGGTGGAATACTTCAATCCTCGATCGATCTATGCTATTTTTCTCGAAGACTAACAACAACTGCGTACAATCCAGTGAAAAATTAAAAACCAGCGTAATTCTACAGAAATACAGAAATATATATTTAAATATGATTTATGCAGATGACGACAGAATTCATCGAGATCAATCGCGTCAGACTACCAAGTAAACGTAAGCAGAATGAAGAAACGTATATTAATGGAACAAATCATAGTGTATTCGTAATATTTCTGGGTCATTTATTACTCGTAATAATCTGGATCGTTTAAAACTCAATGATGTAATAAGTAATCTTAGAAAATTGGAACCATCTACACAAAACATCGCAAAAATTAAATTTCAAATTATCGCTAAATGAAACTTGCAAAAGTAAGAACGAACAACAAAAATTAAAAAACAATTGTGCTTACTTATTTGCGAATCTCTCTCTCCCTCTCTCTCTCTCTCTCCCTCCCTCTCTCTTTTACCCACTTTCTTTGCTCGTTCACTCTCTCTCTCTCTCCCTCCCTCTCGTTCCAAAGTTAACCAGAATAACCAAAGATAGGAGAAAGCAAAAGATACGTGTGCTTACAGGGAGTAAAGGCAAAGGAAGATTAACGGGTGAAGAGTAACTCACCAAAATACGTCCAGTGGTGGTCTGTCCAGAAATCAGTTCACCGGCCCAGTCTTTGGCCTCGGTCATAAAAGTCCCCTCGAACTCCTTGCCCTGGCGGCTCGTCTTTTGCTCTTTCTGTTTCGGGTCATTTGGGGCGAACTCGGGTTCCTTGCGACAGCAGAGGAAGGCGAACGCACGCCAGAGGAGTACGATCAGCAGCCCGGCAAGGAAAGTGAAGATGCTCGACAGCAGGAAGCACCACCATTTCCGTTCCTTCAGGCAGTCGTCTACCGGGGGCTGCTCGGTCGTCTCTTCGGTCGTCATTACGGTGGATCTCTGCTGCCCCCGGATCACACATTCACCGGCAGCTATCACAAGCGGCGGCCAACGGAGCGCTCCTTATACGCTTCATAATTTCCTGCTGCAACTCTGCACGCCTCGCGCTTCGTTGCAGCTTTCAACCACGAACTAGCTTCGCGCAGTTTGCGCCCACTCACCACTACTACTACCAATACCACCACCACCACCTCCACCACTACCAATAATACCACCACTACTACCACCGAACAACTAATCAACCTTTCTTTCTTTCCTCTCTTCTTCTTCTCCTATTTTCTTCTCCCTTAATTTTAATATCGTTTTCGCTTATACTAACTGTTCTCCTTCTTTCTCTTCTTTCTCTTCTTCCTTCTTCCTTTTCCTCCTTTTCCTCTTCCTTCTCCTCTTCTTCTTTTTTTTGTTTATGCACGCACGCCGCACGCACGC